CTCCTCTGGGGTATGTGCTCAGACACTTTAGCCTTGTGTAATCATCCCTTTTTCATGTATGACTATATTCATACCTGGGCTTCATTGGTGGCTCAGAAGATAATGAATCGACTTTCAATATGGGAGACCTGGATTTGATCACTGGGCTTGGAAAATCCCCTGGAGGAGGGCATGGCAACCCACACCAGTATTCTTGCCTGGAGAATCCCCATGGACAGAAGAATCTGGTGGGCTACAGTCTATGGGGTTGCAAAGAATCGGAGAGAACTAAGCAACTAAGTACAGCACATGGACATACCTGGATCATAACACTGAGAGCATAGGAAAGTGCTCTTGAGAATTAGAGTAACCAGCTAGTTATTTGCTCTTTGACTTTGGGTACCCTAGTTATTTCAACTACGTATCCTCTTCATATGTAAAATAGATATGCTAATATCTAACTCATAAACAATTGCAAGGCCTAAATGAGATAATGTATGTCTAGTTTGGTTCTTGGTGCATAGTATGAACTAAACAAATATTAATTCTTATTTCTATGCACATGTTTCTTCTCTTTCTCCCTCCATTGTATAAGGCAGTATGGCAGTGGATAAAATCTTAGAGCTTATTTAATTGCTTGTGTGAATAAATGGAGATTAATTGCTTGACAAATACTATTATTCTGGCAATACTGCATTGTGAGAAGTAATATAGCATCATGGTTAATCAACAGTACTGGCCCCTATAATGAGACAGCTTTTCCCCCAAAAAGTGGGTCTATTACTTCAGCAAGTTATTAATTTTACAAACATACTGCTATGTATTTAAAGATGTGTAAAATGGACAGAACATGGAGTCCATTTTTAGGACTATTATGAGAATCCAACAAGATAATGTATAGAAAGTACTTAGTATAATACCTGGCAAATGTGAAGTGTTTCAAAATAATAGGTAGAGGTGATTTCTATTTTTAATGTTAGTAGGATAAATATATCAAAGTCTCAAGATGGCAGAAAAATAGGATTTTGCATATGTCATTTAATGTCTCGGTATACTTAATTCCTATGTAAATTAAGATTTATATTTTCCATATGGGAATTTGATCAAAATTAAAGATATTAATCAATTATCTTTATATGAGTGAGTGAAATTCGCTCAGTTGTGTATGACTCTTGAACACTATGGACTATACCCACCCAGCCTCCTCTGTTTGTGGAACTTTCTAGGCAAGAATTCTGGAGTAGTTTGCCATTCTCTTCTCCAGGGGATCTTCCCGACCCAGGGATTGAAGCCAGGTGTCTTGCACTGCAGGCAGATTCTTTACCATCTGAGCCACCAGGGAAGTGCTCCCTCCCAACATTTTATAAATAATATTAATTAATCCCTTTCTATGTAACTGGCATTGTGTTAAATTCTTTTAATGCATTATCTCATAACAACTCAATAATAGAGGTACTAATGTTGTCTCTGGGCTTCTCTGGTGGATCAGTGGTGAAGAATCTGCCTACTAATGCAGGAGATGTGGGTTCTATTTCTGGGTTGGGAAGAGCCCCTGGAGAAGAAATTGGCAACCCACTCCAGTGTTCTTGCCTGGGAAATCCCATGTACAGACGGGCCTGGAGGGCTGCAGTCCCGCCCCCACCCCCCCATATTCAAACACAATGCAGCAACTAAACAACAACAAGTATTATTTCCATTTCACAGATAGGAAAATGTGATTAAAGTGATTCGTTAACTTGTCTTTGAATATAAAGATAATAATAGGGCTAGGAACCGAACCTAAGCAATGTGACTTCAGGGCCTCTATTTAAGTGCTGTGCTTTACAAATATGCTTCATGTATTAATACACCTTTGGTATCCATGACAGCAGATGATGTAGGTAAGAAAGAATGTTACTATTTTGTAGAAAAGAAAATTGCTGGAGCCAATGGTACGTGATATTTTTGGTGTCATGTGGTTAATCAATTGTGGAGTTGGCCCTGGAACTTTCAATATCTAATGCTAACATGAGTATTTATTGCTGTTTAGTTGCTAAGTCATGTCAAACTCTTTTGCGACCCTATGGACAGTAGCCTGCCAGGCTCCTCTGTCCATGGGATTTCCAAGACAAGAATGCTAGAGTGAGTTGCCATTTCCTTCTCCTTCGTGACCCAGGGCTCGAACCTTCATCTCTAGTATTGCAGGTGGATTCTTAACCACTGGGGAAGCCCAACATGAGCACTATCAATAACCCATAACCATTCCTTGTTACCTCTCAGTCAAAAAAAGAAAGGTAATTACGGCTCTGAAAGCACTTTGAATACAACACAACATGGTACAGAAACGAGAATGATTTTTGTTATGATGATCTTCATAACTACTGGTATTATCCTTGATGTCCTATAAAGGAAGGACTGACTGAACTAGTTCATTCCTCTGAGCCAAATGTATCCATGTAACATCACATTGGTGTGCAGGACACAATATTTTGAATCAACACTGAAAGGACTGGATCTGGAAGGTGTGGAAAAAAGTGTGAAATGTTCAGCCTGATTTAGGCAATCTCAGGCATGAAGACGAAGGAAAGGCCTTTTCTTACAAAGAGAAGTGACTTCCACAAATTTCTGACTCAACTAAATGTGGAAAGGCAGATTGTTATGTTGAGGGTTGGGTAATTCTCAGTGTTGCAAGACAGGGCTTCATGGAGATGAGTTACATTGGGTAGGGTCAAGTGATTGCTACCTGAAAGTGTGACTATGGAAAAACTATCACAACACACCTATTGACACACTGGCAGGTAAGTACCAACCAGGCTGCCAGATCTGGCTTCATTCTGTGCCAACCTAATTTTGACTCAGAACCTGGGTAGCCTGTTTCACTTAGTCACCCACACTCCTGCTCTGTCTGAACATTACCCATTTTATACCCTGTCCTTGTTTCTGGTTCAGCCACTCCCTTTCTGTTCTCTGGTGATTTTGTTTTAGTCTTCTTGTTTAATTTTAAGTTTTATTTAAATAAATAAATAACTAAATAAATGTTGTGTCCTCATTGCTGCACATGCTTTTCTTTAGTTGCAGGAAGTGGGGGCTACTCTCTGGTTGCGATGTGTGGGCTTCTCATTGTGGTGGCTTCTCTTGTTGCAGAGCATGAACTCTAGTGTGTGCAGGCTTCAGTAGTTGTGGCTCTTGGGCTCCAGAGCCCAGATTCAGTAGTTGTGGTGCATGGGTTTAGTTGCTCCATAGCATCTGGGATCTTCCCTGATCAGGGGTTGAACCCATGTCTCCTGCACTGGCAGACAGATTCTTTACCACTGAGCACCAGGGAAGCCCCCTGTTTACTTTACAGACTTTTCCCTTAAGTAAAAACGTGCATTAAATTCTGCCCTTACCCACTGTACAAAGCCTTAGAAATTCTCTAATAAGCAGGACCTTCCCTGACCAGGACAATCTGTATTGGATTTCCTCATCTACATCTCTAGGGGAACAGTACCAGGAAGTAGCAAGAGCTAGAATTTGGATCTCAATAACTCTGCACTCAAGATCCAGATTTTATTGTTGTTCTTAAATATTTGCCTGAGTTAGTATTTAAGTCTTCTGAGCATCAGTGGTCTTCCTTATAACAAGATAAGCATAGTACTGTATCACAGAGACAGGGACAGGAATAGACATCTTTGGCTATGCCTTTGATAAATGCCAAATAAGCTAACAAGTGCTAAATAAATACTGTGTGTGTGTGTGTGTGTTTGTGTGTGTATGTGAAAGTCTCTCAGTCATGTCCAACACTTTGCAGCCCCATGGACTGTACGGTCCATGCAATTTTCCAGGCCAGAATACTGGAGTGGGTAGCCATTCTCTTCTTCAGGGGATCTTCCTAACCCAGGGATCAAACCCAGGGCTCCTGCATTGCAGGAAGATTCTTTATCATCAGAGCCACCAAGGAACACACAAGAGGTTCTGGGTAAATATTTTATATTAATAATTGGTAAGGGTTACAAAGACATGATGCCACCAAGGAGACTCTGACTCCCCAAGTCCTGTGCACAGAAGCCTTATAGTGGAACTGAAAAATGGTTCCATATTAAAATGTTCTCCCCTCTGGAAGTTGCTAGTTCAGATTCCTGAACATATAGTTCAAACCAAAAATGTTAAATTGATATGATTGATGAGAATGGTGGTGATGTACCTTGAGGCTCCTACTGAAAATAAATTATAAATTAAGATAGAATATTTTTAAGATGTAGGAATAAAACCAAGAAAATCCTACCTGATTAAGAGATGTAATGTTGTGTACATACTGCTATAATTAAAATAGATAACCAACAAGGACCTGGTCAATATTATGTGGTAGCCTGAATGCGAGGGGAGTCTGGGGAAGAAGGGATACATGTATAGTATAGCTGAGTCCTTTTGCTGAACACCTGAAATTGTCACAACATTGTTAATTGGTTATACTTCAGTGAAAAATAGACTTTAAAAAATGGTGTAGGGAAAGTGATCAAGATAGCAGAGTAGGGAGAACTGAGCTCCCCTCCTCCCATGAGCACATTAAAATTACAACTATTTACAAAGCAACTATTGATGGGAATGACCTGAGGACTACCAGAAAATATTTTCCACAGTTAAAGATATAAAAAAAGGAACAACAAGACAGGAATGAGGAGTGAAGATGTGATAGAATCAAAACCCACACCCCTGGGTAGGTGACCCACTTAAAAATACACTTAAAAACATATTAAGAGGGTAAATCTTACGTTAAGTGTCCTTACCACAATAAGACAATATGGTATCACACTGCAAGAATGAATCACTATCAGATCTGCATAAAAAGAAATATTCAACTCAGTTCATCATAAGAAAAATAAGACAGAGAAAAATAATGAAATAAGAAACAGGATTTCTCCAGCGTCTAACCAAGGAAAAAAATAATGAGAGAGGTAATGATAATAATTCATAATTAATAATAACAGTAGTAGTTTGCAACTGCTGATAGCAAATGACCACAAATTTAGTGATTTAAAACAATATTTATTATCTCACATTCTGTGGGTCAGTAGTTCAGGTATGGCATAGTTAGGTCCTCTGCTCCGGGTCTCACTGGTTCTCAGGCTGCAATCCAGGTGTTAGACAGACTGCTTTCTCAACAAGAGGCCGAGCTAGGAAAGAATGGACTCCCAAGCTCATTCAGATTTTAGGCAGAATCCATTTTCTCATATGACTGAGAGTCCCAATTCTTTGCAAGTTATCAGCTGGAGGCCACCTGCAGATCCTAGAAGCCACATATGGTTCCTTCCCACATTTGCTAGCCTTATTAAGCCAAGGAGAATTTCTTGCTCTAGTCTGCTAAGATGGATTCTTATATAATAGACTGCAATTAGGGGATGACATCCCATCACCTTTGCCAAATCTCCTGTCTGGAAGCAAGTCTCAGGTCCCTCCCACAATCAACAGGAAAGGATTACACAAATTTGTGGTTCCTGGGTGGACCACAAATTATTCGAGGAGTTACCTAGAGTCTGTGTACCACATTCTTATGACTAAAATCCACTTCCTTAGGGAAAGGAAAGTGTATTTAATTTTACAACCATTCCTCCATCATTCTAATTAGGTCTTGGTAAATTTCACGGGGTGCATCCTGTCCAAGGTAAAAATCCACATGATTGTAGTGTGGAATTGACTTGTAATAAATGAGCTTGGTAATTGTAGGAAGTAAATTCTCAACATCTTTGAGATCAGCCACGCAGTCCTGTCCACCACTCCACACTGCTGTTGGAACTTCCATATTAGAAACGTTGTATAGAGGAGGTGTAAGCTAAATAAAATTGAGGAGAGAGAAAAATTGTTTTCACAGAAAATCGTATTATAGAAGGAACATCAATTATCAGTTGTTAAGCAAGTTCTGTATGTTCTAAATGTTACTGTATGTTATGTACATACATTAACTGTTATACTACTATCTTAATAGTCTGAAAATGCAAGCAGCATATGCAAGCAGAATTGAGAGAGAGTGACAGGGAGAAAGGGAGAGCCTGATGATTATGTATATTCCTGGCTATTGTGAGTTTACCATTATACTTCTTATTTCAGTAAAACCAAACCATATTTTTATAAAATTTAAAATAGAGTGATTTTCACTACTTGCATTGTAAAGACCTACATATTCTATGGACTAAATTGTGTTCCCTCCAAATTCATATGTTGAAGCCTTAACCCCAAGTGATTGTATTTAGAGAAAAGGCTTTTAGGAAGTAATTAAGGTTAAATGAGGTTATAAGGTTTGGATCCTAATCCAACAGGATTGGTGGCCTTATAGGAGGGGAAGTGAGAGAGAGAGAGAGAGACAGATCTCTCTCTTCAACCAGAGACAAAGAGGAAAGGCTATGTGGACATACATGGAGAAGGAGGCTGTCAGCAATCCAGTAAGAAAGCCCTCACTAGAACCTGACCATGTTGACACCCCTGCTCTTGAACTTCCAGCTTCCAGGACTGTTAGAAATAAATTTCTGTTGTTTAAGCCACTCAGTCTATGGGATTTTTTATGGTAGCCAAAGGCAATTAATGCACCATAGGTAATTTCAGCAGCAAGACTAAGAAGAAAAGGTAACATGGACCAAGTTATAAATTCTTAGAAAACAGTATCTTTGGCCAGGAAGAGGTTTCTAAGACTAGAAATGTGCCTGGGGAGACCTCTGACTCGGTAACTGCACCATGAGTTCTCTTAGTAGAGTGATCGGCAGGCAGAGCACTGGTATAGCCATTCCACATGTCACCATCAGTAGATGGGTCTTTGCATTAGCAAATATCTTAAGTATTAAGTCCCTACATCATAATACTGGAAGACCTTGGATCTGGGCTTAGAAGCAAGTGGTAAATAGGAATGTGTAGCCATGAGAAGACAATGTGAAGGGCAAAGAAGGAAATCAGTGAAGATTAGAACTAATGAGTACCGCATGCAAGGGAACGGTGGGCTAAGGAAAGCCTGGTGCACTCAACGCCAAGAGCAACTGAAGAAAGAGGCTTGCTTTTCCTGACTTGGTAGTGTTCTCAGTAGAAAAATACAAGGCATAAATATTCAAAGGCAAGCATAGAGAGAGATAAAGGATAGAAAAACAACACAGCACAGAGGAAGAAAAATATTAGCAAGCTTTAAGGCACAAGTTTATCTAAGGAGCTCCTAAAATCAGAATACACTGACTGCAGTAATTTAATACCGTACTCAGAATGAACTGGGAAGCCCAGAAGATGTCAAAACAAAAATGAACATCCAGATCAGGATCCAAATGACATGTGGTAGCTTTTGGCCCAGAAAATTTTCTTTTTTCACTTTTTTTTTTTTTAGTAATACAGGATTGGTGATTATATTGGTAATTACACCTATCTAACTTATGATGATATTACTTATAGTTGTGACAAAGGTTGTTAATTGTTAAAACTTATATATTGTTTACAGTTTAAGTTTTCTTTTCCTCCCTAAAGTTCCAAGCAAAAGATCCATAATTGAACCTGAAATGCCATGTATTTTGATAGAATCTATGAGCACAATGACAGAGTTAATACCTGTGATTCAGCTTTCATCCAAATAGGTATTTGAGTCTTATAGGGTAAGGTCATCACCTAAAAACTTTTCCTAAATCAATTACATACTCTTGCTAGTACAAGGAGCTGTTAATCACAAGAATAAATAGCACTCTGACACAGTGTGTGAGTTTGCGTATGCTTGCACACACCTCTCCACACACATACAACTATAGCAGTTTAGGGGAAAATCAGCTTTTTTACACTACTTGAAGTTATGCATTTTCACTATCATAGTTATTATGGTAACAGTGAAATTGCTTTAAAAAATCTCCAAATTTCCACATGCCTGATTTGAAAAAAATCCATGTATCTTTGTTGCCTACTTGTTTAATTTGAGCTCCATCTATTAGCCAGAAGCTGAAGCCATCATTGGATTTCCTTAAATATTGGAAAAATTAACAACAATACCTATTCACTTTAATATGGAGTTTTTTCACAAGGGAAAGTTTTCATATATAATGTCAGATATAAATGGACATATTATTATATGGCAAACAGCATTGTTTTTTTCTAAAGGTGATAATCCTGTCTGGAATATCTTTAATCATTCATAATTGTTTTTGAATGAGCAGTAAATGACATCCAAAAACTTATTAGGATAAACTTAGTTCATTTTATGAGGTTCATTTATGAGGGATGGATAAGAAGCCAGAGAATATGCTTTAGAAATAAAATTGTGCATCTTTAATTCTTTCTTTAAAAATATGGTCTTAAGTGCTGAGAGTTTCTATTTTTTTGAGGAGTAAGTGTAACAGAAGAAGAATATACTTTTGATCCAGGAACCCTGGGTGGTATTCTGGTTCTTTACTAGCTAAATAATTTTTGACAATTCACCTAACCTCTCTGAGCTTCTGGAAAAATAGAGACAATTTACATAACCTAATATTTATTTGGGAAGTTCATGCTGAGAATCAAAAACAATAATAAGGCAAGTGGTAAGATTCTCCCAAATAGCATCTGATCTATACAAAGTATCTGGCATAGTGAATGGAGCATACTGAGTAGGTGATTGATAAGTAGATACTATTTTTACAAATTTCATTTGCAGTATGCAATTGGTGATTATTGTTATTGTACCTGGTGGAAGTGCTTCATATTCTGATCAGGGTTTCCCCAATCAAAAGCTTGGAACCGACCAGAATTAACAGCCTATAAAAAGATACAAATAATAAACACTTTAAAATGATATATGAAAACAACATACATGTAAAGACAGTAAGCAAAAAATACACAAAAAGGATTGACATAATGTCCCACGCTTTAGCACATGAGCTAAAAGTCAAAGTTTAATAAGTAAAATAATAAAAATGATAAAAATTGATACAAATTCATGGAACTATCTTTTCTTTCCTTTTATATTTTTCCAATGAAAATCTTCCAGCAGTGATGCCTTTAAATAAATTGTATGCTGTGTACATAGATGTGTTTTAAAAGATGCTACATTGATTCTTGGACATCTTGGCTTCAAGAATTTTAATATTTTTTGAAAGGCACTAGCTATACATTAAAAAATGACTGCTACTATTATTAAACTTTATACCTCTTATCGTATCAGATGGTCTAGGATAATATGACTATATTCCTTATTCTTAAACATTTTTGTTAACTTTGAAGGGAATGCTCACTCAAAGAACACCTTCAAGGCTTTCTGAGGTATCGTGTCTGTCTGTCTCCTGTCTATATGGCCAAGCAGCCTGCCATATTGTCAATAACATGGCCACAGCCTGAGAGTCTGAGACACTGTGTGTGCCCTTTTGTTATTTTAAGTTTTAGACTTCAGATATTAATATAGAAACATTAATACTTCTAGGAGTTCCCTTTTCTGGTTATTTGCCACCCGTTTGGATTGAGGAGACATAATTTTTACCTTTACCTCAAGCACTTCGTTAAATTATTTTCAGATTACTCCAAAGGTTTTTTTCAACTTGATTTTTTTCACATGAACTGATTTAATTCTGATTTTTTGTTTGAAATGTTTCCCACTGTGATTTATATTCACAGAGGCAGTAGTCTGCTGTGGTTGAAATTGTGTAGGTTTTCAGCCATGAGAAGCAATAGAATGTACTATATAGTTAGGAACTTGGGTTCTAGCATCAAACAGACCTAGCTTTAATCCAGGCTTAAAGGATTATTAAATCTGTGATCCAGGCTGTATATACATCTTCTCTAAACCTGTTTTCTCATCTGTGCAATGGAAATGACAATAGCATTCTGCTTATAAGGTTATGAAGATTAAGTAATGTATAAATAGCATGTGGCACCTAGGAACCATCAAGAAATCACTCTTTTTATTGATATGGTTACCATCATGTCATTATCATCATCCTTGCTTTAGCTGTCTATGTAACTTATAACCAAGTATTTTATCTCCCCATCCCACCCAATTATTTCTCTTCTCAAGAGAACTTTCTATCAAAGGAGAAGAGATAGCTTTAAGAGGAGTCAACCGTGAGAGGTAAGGATTGACTGTGACATTTTTAGAGTGGGGAATATCAATGGTTTCATTGAAAGATTGTTAGGAGAATTTATAACAGACAATGAGATATATATCTGGACAATAAAAACACATTGTAAGTGCTCAATGAATATGACATTGAAGTTGTATTATCTGGAAAACTATGCCTTTCAGAATCTACCTGTCTCCTCACCAGTAAGAAGCCCTAAATCTGGAATATCTGTCTTCCTTTAGGAACTTGAACACTTATCTCTTGAGGGTGGAACTCTTCAAAGAATTTCAGTAATCTTCAACTAGTATTTAAGACTATCTATAGCAGTAATTGTCAACTCTAAAGCATGGAAGAAATTTATCAGGGTGTAGGTTAAAATTCAGATTCCTAGGGATTTCAGATTCTTATTCAACTTTTTAAAGTATTTTAAAATTAAGATATTTAATTAAATATTAAATATTAGACCTTCCCCACTTGTACATGTGCACACACACATACACACACACTGACATACGTGGCTTAGAAAGCTATACCAACTGAATTTGACTTATCGCTGAGCTTGCTAAATCCTGAGAAATATAGTAACACACACAAAAAACTTAAATGGAGAGTAAAAACAGAAACCCTTAGTCCATTTAAAACCCTCTCTAACATTCAATGTCCTCTAAATTAGGCAGTATTTCCACACTCTGAAATTGCCTATATCCTAGTTGAGGGTAAAAAGATCTTTCTAGAATAGCATTTATCATGTTATGTATAGCTCTGTTAGAGTGAATGATTCCCCAAAAGAGGAAACACTAGACAAGACAATTAGGAGTAATCTGAAGATCAGAATTCAGTCAGAATATCTGGGAATACACAGAGGACCTGGAGAATAGATGAGAGTAAAGAACATCGACACGAGTTGATCTGATTCCAGAAGCATCCACCCGACAGTGGCATAACTCACAGAGTGAGCTCTCTGGACGTGCCCCTCAGGGATCTTGCAGAGATATGTGTGTGTTATATCAGGAAGTGGGAGTACATACCTGGGCCCAGTGCAGCATGGTCTGAACAGATGTTCCCGCAGAGCTCTGTGCAAAATAAACATCTAAGCGACTCTGCAAAGTAAAAAGATTATTTCTTACCTGAAGGCTAATCATGTAATCACACCACAAGTAAATCTGAGTGTTTTCTTTCCCTCTCTCACCTGACCCAATCTCTCTCTCTCAGAATAAACATGTACAACATCCTCTGAAGATAAACTAAGCAAAGAAGCCCATCTTTAAGAATTTTCTCTTCCCTCACCTCTATTTTCCTGCCTAGGGAAGTGTCTGTGTAAAGCCCACAGAGGACATCCTGTGGTCAAAGACAAAAGGCAAAGCACTTTTCTTTCCTGGTCCAAGAATATAGTCAAGAGATATTTAATGAAGCCTCAAATCCTCCCACTCAAGCAGGTGGACTCTCAGCTTGGGTTGGAAGCCATGAGCATGCTAGTTACATTCCAGGAGACAAAAAGGCTTTGAAATGTGGTTTCCACACAATTTAGAATGAACTCTCCTTATCTCTGTCCAACAAAACAATTGCTTTCTTGGATCTGACTACTTACACGTACCATGTTTAAGTTTTTCGGATCAAATCCACTCAAAGTAAATATAAAGTTGCTGCAAATACGATGAAATATCTTCCGGTTGCATACCTTGGTGGCAATGAATTGGTTAAAAAATGTGTGCGGAGAGAACATTTTGTCACCGAATAATACCTGCAAGATCGATTTAAGACGCCATCAAATTTCATGGATGTGAATGTCAAGTGGAAAACAAGTGGTAATTCAGTCAAGCACTGGACATGGTGACATCTGCTCAGTACTAGCCCTCAGTGAAACCAAAAAGCCCATTAAACTGTCTTTGTAGTCCTCCCAACTCACCTCTTGAAGCTTTTTCTCCCAAGATCCTTTAGTTGAAGTGTTTTTTGGAGCATCCCCTAAAAATCTTGTCTCCATAGAAAACTGCTAAGGCTTTGGGCGTCAGTAGTACCTTGGTTTGATTCTAAACTCTGTCTCGTATTTAATTTTCTATTATCCTGGATTTCCTCAACTATAAAATAGAAAATCAATGTGCACTAAGAATTTCTGTGTAGATAGTAAATCACATTTAAAACACACCTAGTGCAAAGTAGGCAAGGTGGTAGAGTAGAAAGACCCTAAGCTCATCTTCCCCACAGGCACACTAAAATTAGAGCTATTTACAGTGCAACTACTGATGAGAAAAACTGGAAGACCAACGTTTGCCTAATAGGAGAGGAAAAGAGAAAACAAAAACAAAAGCAAAAATCTTAACTCTCTAAAAGTTTATGCCATGCCTATCATTTCATTGTCAAATCCTATAAAGTCTTCTTTTGCACAACCTTGGCTAGGTTTCTCAACTGAAGTGTAACAATAAATCTATAACCATTTCCCTCATCTTTTGCCCTTCTTATATATTTTACTCTCATTCACTTCCATTTGGTCCCCAGGAGAATTCTTCTAAAAAGAGCATTATGCATGTCATTCTTTTGTGTAAATACCTCCCATGATCAGCCACCATATATCGAATATAACCCAAGCTTCTTAACTTGGCATTTAAGTCCACATTTCCAATATTCCTACATTTCCTACAGAATCCATTCATACATTTCCAATATTATTTCTCATACCTTTCACAAATTTAAAGCTAAATAAAGTCAATTACATGTGATTTCCCAAGACTTGAGCTTCACCCCTTCAATGGTGCTCAGGTTTCACTCTTAGTTTGGAAAGACTTTCTACAAGACATTGTAAAGTGAAATCTTGTCCTTTAGCCCAAACTTAGAAATGCCATCCAGGAAGTCTTCCATGATTCCAATGCCTAGAAACATTTTCTCTGAGTCTGTCTGGCAATTTCTTTGATCTATCATTATGATTTTGCTGGAATTTCTATTAGGAATTAGTGAGTTAGTCACATGTGGTAGCTTCTCTATTAGAGTTAATGCACCTTACGGGTAATATTTCTAAAACTACAAAACTGATCAATCCATTTCTCTGTTCAACATTCTTCAATAACTTCCCATCACCAACAGAACAAAACTCTTTAACATGACATAGCTGCTTTCTATGAACTGTCCATTATTCTCTTCTTGGTCAAGTCTTCCACCATTCACACATTGCCCCAATTTTCAGTCATGCTGATTGGCTGAAAAGTAGCTTTATAGGCATAGCTGTTTCATGATGCCATACTTTTGAGACAGTAGCTCCTAGATCATTTTATTTATTTATTTTTTTTACAAAGTTGAATTGAACTGCACTACAGTATAGGTAGATCAAAACATTTTGAAAGTTGAAGCGGAATTGGGCAAATTGAGAATGTGAAGATCCTACCATCTCAAAATATCTCTTAACTTTGTGGGAATGCTGAAGTAATTGAACAAGAAGTCTGGTGCTGTTTGCCTGATAATGTAGGACCAGGTTGGACTGAAATCTCTATGGTAAAAGATGCCCATGTACTACGAGGGATCTGTGAGCATTTTTCACATTGTTACCATAGTTTTGCTGCTACGGTCTTTCTTGGTTGTATAGATATGGAATTAAATCGCCCTGGGCTAATTTGCTTATCTCTCACCAATCAGAACTCCTGGCTTCTATAAAAATTCTTTCACTTTTGTATGCTTTCACTGAAATCACTAAATGGTCTAATCATCTTCCGTCTGTCACGGGAGAAGCCCCTATTACTATGTAACAGGAAAACACATCAACTCACAAAGAATAATTCTTTTCATTGAGCAAATAATCATTTAGTTAGCTGGCAACTGGCAGAAATCATCTGAGGTCTAGGATACTGCCTAGGTTTTGAGGAATTGACAAACAGAGTTGACAAAGAGTGGGCAACTTTGGACTTTTAGTGTTCTATGGAAATCATGACAGCAATAACAATAGCTGGAATTAATTGAAGGCTAACAATGTGTAAGAGATTTACATATATGTACTCACTTAATCCTCAGAGCAGCCCTACAAGTAGAGACTACTATTATCCTCAGTTAATAGATGAATAAAATATTTCCTAGAATTAAGGTCTTGACCAAATTCACCCAGCTACCTATGATTCAGATTCATGCCATCAGACTCCATACAGTCTGAAATACTACACCATACTGTCCTTGATACAGTAGGGGGCACTGGAGAGAAATTTAACCTACTAAATTAAACCACTGATGCTTTTGAACTGTGGTGCTGGAGAAGACTCTTGAGAGTACCTTGGACTGCAAGGAGATCAAATCTGAAGGAAATCAACCCTGAATATTCATCGGAAGTACTGAAGCTGAAGCTCCAATACGTAGGCCACCTGATGTGAAGAGCTGATTCATTAGAAAAGACCCTGATGCTGGGAAAGATTGAGGGCAGGAGGAGAAGTGGATGACAGAGGATGAGATGATTGGATGGCATCGCTGACTCAATGGACATGAGTTTGAGAAAGCTCCAGAAGATGGTGAAGAACATGGAAGCCTGGTGTGCTGCAGTCCATTGGGTCACAAAGAGTCGGACATGACTGAGCAACTGAACAACAAGAACAAATTAAACCAATCAATCAGCCCATCAGTCAAATCAGCTCTTGCTATATCTGTGATAGAGGAATCATGTGAGAGAGAAGCCTCTAAATAAAAAAATGAAGACGGTAGAGTAGTATGGCATCAGAGTGAGCATCCTGAACTCAATTGGCAAAATTGTGCATCATCAGTAAACCTACATGTGTACCTCAAGCACCTATCTTATTCTTTCTAGATGCTCAGTTGTGTCAGACTCTGTGTGACCCCAAGGACTGTAGCCTGCTGGGCTCCTCTGTCCATGGAATTCTCCAGGCAAGAATATGGGTAGAGTTAGCCATTTCCTTCTTCAGAGGATCTTCCTGACCCAGGGATCGAACCCGAGTCTTCGGCATTGTAGGCGGGCTCTTTACCACTGATCCACTTGGTAAAACTTTATGTCTCAAGTTGGCTTTTCTTGAAATCAGTAGAAATAGAGATAGTTTTAGTTACTACAGACTGAAACCTGGGGAAAAGTTGTCACATACCTTGACTGCTTTTCTGGAAAGATTTGTAAATTTTTTCATAGGACTTTGGGTATATTTCACTGTTGTGACTGGAGCCAACGCAAAAAATATCTTAATCCTTTTAGCCAGCTCTGGATTAGTGGAGAATGCTATGAAAGCTGAAAGGGAAGAAGATACTAATTCATGGATTTAGAACAATTCTTACTTAACTCACTTTAAATGATAGTAAAAGCAGTTATATTAAAAAAGAAAACAAAGACACTCAGAGTAAGTACCATTTTGGGGCAAGGATTTTTAAATTTCCAAAGATGAAACTGGCTAATTCAGAATAAAGTGAGTTTCCTGTTTCTGAAGGATGCAAATCTACTTACAGAGAATATTACAGAAAGGATTCAAATATCTGTTGTCAGGCATGTCTAGGTTAACTCCAACGGCCATTCTAGCTTGATCATAGTCTTTGGTATCAGACAAAACTGAACTAGAATTTTGGTTTCCCATGTGCTAGCTGTGTGAAAACTTGGGCAACTTAACTCCCCTTTATGAGTCTCAGCTTTCTCTATCTGTAAACATGGAAAATAGAATACTTATAGAGTAATTCTTTCAAAGGTTAGATTTATATTTATGTAGAGTTTCTAATGGCATTATCATGATTAGAAAGGGCTCCTAAGTTCAGCCATTTATAAAATATGGATGATAAAGCTCTCAAATGCCTGATATAAATGCTGTTAGCAATGTCAAGGTCTCTAGCTGAAATCACAGCAGGATCCTCTATGACCCACATCCCAGACTTTTAGAAACAAAAGCAAAAATAAACAAATGGGACCTAATGAAACTTAAAAGCTTTTGCACAACAAAGGAAACTATAAGCAAGGTGAAAAGACAGCCCTCAGATTGGGAGAAAATAATAGCAAACGAAGCAACAGACAAAGGATTAATCTCAAAAATATACAAGCAACTCCTCCAGCTCAACTCCAGAAAAATAAATGACCCAATCAAAAAATGGGCCAAAGAACTCAACAGACATTTCTCCAAGGAAGACATACAGATGGCTAACAAACACATGAAAAGATGCTCAACATCACTCATTATCAGAGAAATGCAAATCAAAACCACAATGAGGTACCATTACACGCCAGTCAGGATGGCTGCTATCCAAAAGTCTACAAGCAATAAATGCTGGAGAGGGTGTGGAGAAAAGGGAACCCTCTTACACTGTTGGTGGGAATGCAAATTAGTACAGCCACTATGGAAAACAGTGTGGAGATTTCTTAAAAAGCTGGAAATAGAACTGCCATATGACCCAGCAATCCCACTTCTGGGCATACACACCAAGGAAACCAGATCTGAAAGAGACACGTGCACCCCAATGTTCATCGCAGCACTGTTTATAATAGCCAGGACATGGAAGCAACCTAGATGCCCATCAGCAGACGAATGGATGAGGAAGCTGTGGTACATATACACCATGGAATATTACTCAGCCATTAAAAAGAATTCATTTGAATCAGTTCTAATGAGATGGATGAAACTGGAGCCCATTATACAGAGCGAAGTAAGCCAGAAAGATAAAGACCATTACAGTATACTAACACATATATATGGAATTTAGAAAGATGGTAACGATAACCCTATATGCAAAACAGAAAAAGAGACTCAGATGTATAGAACAGACTTGTGGACTCTGGGAGAAGGCGAGGGTGGGATGTTTCAAGAGAACAGCATTGAAACATGTATATTATCTAGGGTGAAACAGATCACCAGCCCAGGTTGGGTGCATGAGACAAGTGCTCGGGCCTGGTGCACTGGGAAGACCCAGAGGGATCGGGTGGAGAGGGAGGTGGGAGGGGGGACCGGGATGGGGAATACATGTAAATCCATGGCTAATTCATTTCAATGTATGACAAAAACCACTGCAATGTTGTAAAGTAATTAGCCTCCAACTAATAAAAATAAATGGAAAAAAAGAAAAGGTCATCTTAAAAAAAAAAAAAAAGGTCTCTAGCTGAAAAGAGAACAGAGAAGAGAATGGAGAGACTTATGGCACTGCCAATGTGGCCCGTCCACATTTAGCCTACCCTAGCAGCCACTGGGTACTAACTAAAAGTCACATTGATTGTGGCATATGATCACTGAGATTTGTAATTCTCTGCTTTCTTTTTAGTTTCCCTTATTAGACTGTGAGCTCTTCAAGAGAAAGATGTATACCATATTTATCTTTGATTTCCTGGTATCTAACCCAGTGTCTGACAAGTGTTTGCTGGGTACACAAATGAATAAATAAATAATTGACTTTCTTTCAGTCTTTCCATCGATCTCCAAATTTAGTCCTGAGGGGGCAGGAAAATCCCTTAGTCATCCTCACTTTATTTATTCTTCAGAAGACAGCCAGGTGTGATGTTTTTCCAACTCAAAGTCCCCAAAGCTAGAGACTGCACAGAGGGAAGAAATCCTGACCCCTTTCATGGATATGAAGAAAATCTCCTGACACCCTCAGATCACATCTGTCCCAAACACACCAATGGTGGTGCCTTGGGAGTGGCCCACGTAGTAGAGTTGCTCTTTTTTGGTTTTCTCTATGATAAAATTGATTGTGGCTGGAAGGTCGTATTTAGCCATCTCATCCAAACTGCCAAAAGAAAAAACAAAACAAAACAAAACAGCATTAGAAAAAATCCATCTCTTTGTTAGGCTTGTAATACTTAAATATATGCGTTGCAGATCTAGATGCTTAGCTTTTGTTAAATATAAGACTAGAATCAATACATGATGTCAGGCATCTTCTGAGGATCTCGTCTTGATCCAAGAGTAACTTTGTGTTAAGAAACTGAAAACTCTGACTTGCAAAGCCTACAGAGTTGTTGTAGTTGTTTGGTTGCTAAGTCATGTCTTTGCGGCCCCTTGGTCTGCAGCATGCCAGGCTCCTCTGCTCTCTACTGTCTCTCGGAGTTTGCTCAAGTTCCTGTCCTTTGAGTTAGTGATGCTATGTAACCATCTTATCCTCTGCCACCCACTTCTCCTTTTGCCTTTGATCTTTCCCAGCATCAGGGGCTGGGATCTTTCCCAGGATCAGCCCAGTCTACAGAGGCTTTTCACTTAATCCTATAGCAGATTTACCAAACTCCTTTGAAAAGAAAAATTACCTGGAATGCTTATTTTACAAACAGAAAAAGTGAAGAGACTTGCAGACCTCAGCCCAGATAGACTGAATCAACATTTCCAGGAAAGCGGCCTCAGGTGCTTTCTCTCCTGTGTGTAGTCGGGAGAACACTCATCCAGGGAATCATGATGCTATTTGCAATGGTGCCGTGACACAGCTGCCCTGGGATGTGGAATTAGGGGATGACAAATGGCTTCCAGGAGTGAGGTGGGAATGAGGTCAAGGAATAAGTAACTTTAGTGACCTTCAAGGCTTGGTTCTTTGCTTCACTACAAATGCCAGGCTTGCTTCTGTCACTCAGTTGGCCTAACTTCTAAGGCAGACAACACCCTCGGGGACTGCTGTTGGCAGGTTGGCTCCATGGAGAGATTTTAGCACCCTCAGTCTATGGAGGACAGGGTTCCTTCACACCTCAGTGAATAAACATTGGAGTGTCATCTCTGCTCAAGTGCTTGGCTCATTTTGACTTAACCGGAATGTCTGGTTCTCAGGGTTTTCAACTAAAACATTGTTTCTGTTCCCATTTCTTGATCAGTGTCATTATTCCTCTTCATTCAGCGTACCATGTAAATTTCTGGACTGCACGTTGACAGTGTGATAGTCCTGGAATTTGCATTTTGATTTTTTTTCTTTCTTATATACTTTACATACACATAGGCCAAGTGGAGTGTTTAAAACAACTATCAGTGCAATAATAAGGGCATTTCTTCAGAGCTTGTGAAGAAAACCTGGGTAGAGGAAGGTATGTTTATTTCCATCTTGTGGATTCCACAATGTGCAGTTGGACAAAAAGGGAAAATTCAAAAGGGTAGTCACCCATATAAAAGAGCAATGTACACATGTTAGTCATTAGTAGTGTTTTTCTTACCTGAAGGCCCAGTATTCTGGTGACTTGGGTGAAAATTTCAAGTGTTTTCTGGACCAAGTATTTCCCCGGCTGTTCCCCAGCCACACATCATAACCAGCATCTGCCAGAAGGAAAGCCAAGCTGTTGTTGGGCAGGTTGCAAATCCAGTTACTGGCAGATGCAACTAAGCCATGTTGCAAATACACAACAGGCTTTGGAGCTGCAAAACACAGACAATGAGAATTTTTTTATCTGAACTTCCTTGGTACCTACAAGAAAATTCTCTTTTCTGAATCCCTGTAATACAAAAGAAAGGTTAAGAAAGCAAATTTGGCACCACCAGGCAAGTCTAGGTTTTAGGATTTTGAACTACTTCTGAAGCTGGTCAAATTATTTATCTTCTCCATGTCTTGTTTTTCTCTTTGTAAAACTGGGATTATGTCCAAAGCATTGAATTGTTAAATAGTTGTTGGAGTCAGAGTGCCCCACTTCATAAATCTCTTCTGCTATGTATCAACCTCCTTATGCCTTAGTTAACTTATTTTGTAATGGGGGATAATACAAAATGCGATCTTACGGTGTAGTTATAAGAATTAAATTAGAATTAAAATATAATTTTGTTCAGCCACAATAATTACCTGCTCTATAATTATTCACATTAGTGACACTTTATTTCTCAAAAAGCATCTGATTACAAAGCTAGTATTTTTCCAAGATAATAACAAAGACAATAAAAATGCCATTTGTTGAATATTTCACTGAATGCCAGGCACTATGCTAGTTAATTTGCATTGTCAGAAAGTGAAATGCAAGGTTTTAAGTGAAATGCACACAAGGTAAAATTGTTCATTTGATATAAAAATTCTGCTCACAATGTAGAATTGGAACAATTTGATTAAAGAAAGAGAAAAGAAAAGGAAGGAAATGGGGGAAGTGGTGCTGAAAACATTGAGAAGAGAAAGAGAAGTGACTAGGATATTTCTGTCTTTCATAAATGGTTTATGATGCTGTGTTGGTACCACAGGGCTTTCCCACAAGTCCCCTTTGGGGCTCGACCAGCTTCCTGAGATTGAGTAGGTGAGACTGGACTCTCAGAGAGCCTCAGCCATCTGGAAGCAAGGACCAAAGTCTATATCCATTAATCCACCTTTTGAGAAAAAGACAGAAGGAAGAGGTGTTACTAATTCTGCTAAAATACCACCAAAGTGCAGTCCCAATCATAGCTCATCTCTAATCTGAGCCCTCAGGCAGCTACTCATTGTAGAGACAGCTTTCCTTCCATGCTTTTTGGCAGCTACCTGCCAGAACAGACAAGGTGAAAGTTTGGGCAAGTAAAGTTCTCACGAGCATTTCCAAAGTTAATGGAGTTATTTTAGGGAACAGTCAGTTCTGTAAAGTGAGCAACACTGTTCCATCTAGATTGCGTAAAAAATTTTTTTAATCTTCTAACAAATAATCCTTCTGATATTGGAAAGTTTGTTTATACAAAGCTCCAAAGAATAAAAGGTGCTATGAGAGAAGCAAACAATTCTTGCCAAGTGGATCCTGTCTTCTCTCAGATACTAACCTGTATTGCAGGGAGCTAGAAATGGCTCTTTAATTACAATCAAGTATAGAACTATTAGGATCAGGTTTACTGTAAAAAATAAAATCCAAATGACTTGTGTAGAGAACTAATTACAAATGAAATAAAAGCAGTTAGAAAACTATTGCTGTAGCTTAAAAGATAACTGATAATGTCAAAGATAAAGATAATGTCTAAGCCTGGACTTGAGTGACATTGAAACTGAGAGTTTTCAGATTAGAGAGACATTTAGAAGGCAAAATTGGTAAGTCTTGGTTATTGGCTGGATATAGAAAGTTGGGGGAGAAAAGCATCAAAATGACCCTAGAGTTCTGGTTTTTAAGCAGGAAAGTGGGTATTCCTGGAATAAGACCACATTTTCCTTTGTTCCGTGTTTGTTGGGAAAGAGGACAAAATGATGGAGAAAAGGAAAGACTAAATAGTGTATGCCAAAATGATTGAAACACTCCAGCGTTATACAAATGAAATGGAATAGTGGAGGTGACGGTGATGATTTTCTTTCACTAGAAGGAGGAATAAAAGAGAATAGGCTCTATTTTAGAATCACAGCTGTCCTGCTGCTATCAGCACATCCAGGAATCTATCCTTAGGCATTATTCCTTTCATAATGAAATAAATCCTACCTGTTTTTGGACATCCTCTTCCATGAGGAATCCTGTAAATTCCGAGGATATAACCATCTTCTGTGACAACGTCATATGTTTCATAAGGATAGCCCCAGTAGGAAATAATCTGGCTCTAAAAAGGGGAAAGGAACATGTATACCTTCATGATAAAATGCCCAAATTTTTACCCACATTGCAACATAATACTTTAAGTCACAACCTACTGTTCATCTGTGTTTTGGAACAGAATAGAGCAGGAAAATCAGGATAACTTGAGGAGGGTTTTAAAAGGAAGATGCATGCCAAGGTGTTGGTAAGGTAAGGTGGTGATCATACATGGTAGTTTTCTTGGCATGGTATTATTAATGCACTCAGGTTCACTCTCTAAATATTTTTGAAAAATTATATCATTGATAGTTCTATTAAAGTTCTAATACAAATGGGTATGGGTGGGGACATGACAGTACACAATGTATACAAGAAATATGTTTTCCATTGGAATGAAGCACATAGTAAGCATTTGTCACTGGTCTTTTTTTGTTTGTTTTTGTTGTTTTCATAGATCTATTTCATTCCACTTTGTTCTAGTCCCCTTCTGATATGAATTCCTGCATGTTAATATATTTTTGTTTATAAGCAGCCCAAACCAAATCTGGCTTACTAAACTTAAAATGTACATGAATGTAGCTCATAAATCAGAGAAACTGCTCTAGAAAAAACCTCAGGAAGAACCCAAGGATTCTCTAAAAATATCATCAATAGGAATTCGTGAACTTTCTCTTCAGGAAACCACCGTGAGATGGTAGCTCAAACCACCAGCAGAGGGAGTCTTACTGCCCCGAATTTGGGTCAGGTCTTTCAGTTCTTTGGTTAGTCAGCTATGCCAAGGAACAAGGGTTGGAAACACAGATTTAGTCAATTTAGAATTTTTAAAAACTAGACAAGCATGCCAGTTATATCTAAAATGACACCAGGAAAGCCCTAAAATGACAATATCTTAATAATTACTTATCTTAAATATTTTCCCTTAATGAATGACTTACAATATTCATGTTAGCTTCAGGATTTGTGGTGCTTCCTTTCTTGTGACAACCATATACAGGTCCAAGAAGAAGCATCCAGCATGTTGCTGCTAAAAGCTGCCACATTTTGAATCTATCTATAAGAGGAGATATTAATATATTTGTTATCAAAGAGAATTCTAAAAATGAAACTCCGTGTAATCTCTCTATAAGACTATTTTTGGAGGGAGTGGAAAAGATCCTTCTATGTAGTGTCTTAACAAATAATATACTTAATTATTCAAGATTCATCCCATTAAAAATCTGAACTGGTGACTTTTTATTAAGAAAAGAAAGAAGAAAAGAAGGAAAGAACAAAAAAATAAAACCAATATCAATTAAATCTACAATAGATATTGAGCAAAAGAAGGAAATGTACATATAATTCACAGAAAAACATAAGGACAAATATATGAATCAAAGCACATTTAATATCCCTAGTTATCAAATAAAATAGTACTCTTCTTCTGATGGTGGAAGTGAGCATTGGCACAACCTTAATGGAAAGAGATTTATTAGCACATCAGTTCAGTTCAGTCGCTCAGTCGTGTCCGACTCTTTGCAACCCCATGAACCGCAGCACGCCAGGCCTCCCTGTCCATCACCAACTCCTGGAGTCCACCCAAACCCCTGCCCATTGAGTCAGTGATGCCATTGAACCATCTCATCCTCTGTCGTCCCCTTCTCCTCCTGCCCTCAGTCTTTCCCAGCATCAGGGTCTTTTTAAATGAGTCATCTCTTCACATGAGTATTGGAGTTTCAGCTTCAATGTCAGTCCTTCCAATGAACACCCAGTACTAACAGCCTTTAGAGTGGACTGGCTAGATCTGCTTGCAGTCCAAGGGACTCTCAAGAGTCTTCTCCAACACCACAGTTCAAAAGCTTCAATTCTTCGGGCTCATCTTTCTTTATAGTCCAACTCTCACATCCATACATGACTGCTGGAAAAACCATAGCTTTGACTAGACAGATCTTTGCTGGCAAAGTAATGTCTGTGCTTCTTAATATGCTGTCTAGGTTGGTCATAACTTTCCTTCCAAGGAATAAGCATCTTTTAATTTCATGGCTGCAATCACCATCTGCAGTGATTTTGGAGCCCAGAAAAATAAAGTCAGCCACTGTTTCCAATGTTTCCCCATCTATCTGCCCATGAAGTGATGGGACCAGATGCCATCTTAGTTTTCTGAATGTTGAGCTTTAAGCCAACTTTTTCACTCTCCTCTTATTAGCACATATTGGGAAAATAAAAAGATTTATACACCTTACTCTATAATTCTAATTCCAAGAATCTATCCAAAAGGAAAAAAAATATGTGAACATCATCTGTAAAATTTACCTTATTGTTTATCTTAATTTGCTAAAATAAGGGATTGATAAAATAAATTATGGGGAAGGAAGAATAGAATTATTCAGCAGCCAAATATTATCTTTTGGCATGGTATGTGAATTCCTATTATATAATATTAAGGGCAAAAAATGCAATTTGTGCATACATTTTGATCTCAGTGATATAACAAACTATAAAGAGAGAGAAAGGACTAAGCATCAAATTTTAATTATGGTTATATCTAGACAGTACATTTTTTCTCATTTTTAAAGGACTCTCCATTTCTAAATTTTCTATGTCTAGTATTACTTTATCATAAGAAAGAAGCTATTTTTCAAATAGACAATAGTGAAAATTATGAGATGAAAAGATTGTGTATATTCCTCATTTGGCTTTTAAACTACTTAAGTTGAAAAAACAAATAATGACTGCAAAAGTAACAGAGCGGGACATTTTGCAGGCTATCTCCCAATAACTACTATATACAGTGAAAATCTCAATGATGATGATAAGTCTCACTCTGTAAGAAATGGAAGGATTTTTCAGACTATGCCTTCACTATTCTGTTATAGAAAATTCCATGAACTCCTCTCTTGCATTTGTTAAAGTCATAATCTCTGTTGACTATATCAGTTCAGTTCAGTCACTCAGTCATGTTCAGCTCTTTGCGACCCCATGGACTGCAGCATGCCAGACCTCCCTGTCCATCACCAACCCCCAGAGTTTACTCAAACTCATGTCCATTGAGTTGGTGATGCCATCCAACCGTCTCATCCTCTGTTGTGCCCTTCTCCTCCTGCCTTTAATTTTTCCCAGCACCAGGGTCTTTTCAAATGAGTCTGTTCTTTGCATCAGGTGGCCAAAGTATTGGGGTTTTCTAATCTATACTATAATTAATGTGATTAATAATATATGGATTATGTATGTAGTCCATGTGTGCTTTGTCGCTCAGTCATGTCTGACTCTTTGCAACCCCAGGGTCTCTAGCCCACCAGTCTCCTCTGTCCATGAAATTCTCCAAGCAAGAATACTGAAGTGGGTTGCCACTTTCTCCTCCAGAGAATATTCCCGGCCCAGAGATCGAAGCAAAGTCCACTGCATCTCCTGCATTGGTAGGCAGATCTTTACCACTAGCGTCACCTGGGAAGCTGATATAATAAATACATAAGTTTATGTTAATATGCTTATATATAATGAATATTGATCAATATAGCCAAATTCTGGTGAAACACTATAATATGATAGAGACAATAATGCCACCACCAACAGTGATAATTATTGTAGTTAATACAACTTGTTTTGAACACCTATTATGTGCCAAGTAACATGTCAGACATGATTGTGATTATCTCATTTTATTCTTAAAAATACCCAGAGGATAAGAAGTGTTATTACAACTGTATTTCAAATGAAACCTGGTGTTGAGGTCAGGTGATTTGCCCAAGGTCAAACATAGAGGGATGGAACCAAGGTCTGAACTCAGGTGGCTTGATTCGAAAGGAAATGTGAATCATTAGGCTCTTAACCTTTCAGTCTGAGTGAGGAGATACATGGGCCCCGGCCTGAGCAGATGGAGTTTATCCCCTGTGGACAGATGCTCCAAGATGAAGAGGAGGAGGAATTGAGCCCTGTCCAGATAAGACACCACATATTTCTCATTCTCAAGATTAAGAAGACTCTCCCGATTATGCATGTGCAGAAAGGCCCCTTGGAGATCAAACAGGGAGTGATGTCACCTACCCATAGGCCTCTTCACTAGAACCCACTTAGACTAAGCGAGGGGTGTGCACACATGGGAAGAGCCTAGATACATAAGTACAGACTCAGAACCAGGCAAAGCAAGATAATTGGCTAAAGAAAACCCAGAAAAAAATGCCCCATATAAGTGATTCAAACTACCACGAGGGCACGGCTCTCTCTCAGCCCATGTGTTTGTCTATCCACATGTACACTTTTCCTTCTAATAAGCACTTAACATGTTAAGTTAAGTGCTACTTAACTAAAAAGACTACTTTTCTTAACTAAAGACTACTTAATTAACTAAAAAGACTACTTTTTGTGTCTTCATGGGAATTCATTTCTGCAAAGCGAAGGACCAGGCCTTGTTGCTGATTCTGGTCTAGTGGCTAGGATTTAACACTCTCACTGCCATGGCCTGACTTCAATTTCTGGTTGGAAACCAAATCCTGCTTCAAGCAGCTGCAGACTGAGGCCTTCTGAGACCAAATCCATTCAGCATAGACTTACTAGGACCCTCTGCTATGTGCTTGCTTAGTATTACATGTGGCCCATGGACCACAGGCATCATAATTACCATTAAAACAATGAAGACTTTTAGAACCCACCCCAGCCAAACCAGATGAGAATCTATGGGTATATAGCTACGCACCTGCATTTAAAATCCTCATTTCAAGTGATTCATGTGTATTTCCACATGTGAAAAACAGACTGGATTCCTTGATAAAAGAAAAAGTTTTGTTGTCACATCTGTCTCTTTGAGACCTAGCATGAAGGTTCTGAGAAGTAAAATATTGCCTGCCATATTAGTAAACAAAGGATGTCACAGTCATCAGTGATTGCAGCCCTGCAACAGTGAGCCCTGAGGGAACCAAGGAAGGAAATTAAGAACACCTGCCATCTAGCAGTCATCAGACTGTGGCCACTCCCTCCAGTGAGCCCTGAGGAAACTCAGGTTGTGAAAACCCAGGATACTGGTTCCAGACAGCTGAGGTATATATCAAAGGAATGATTTCAGTAAGCCCATATTCTGATATCTTTCCATACACAAAAAAGCACTACATTCCTTAACCTGAGATATCTAGTTTTCTTTTATTAACAATAATCTTGTGTTCCTACCACCTACCCTTTGTTGAGAAACTCCTGTGTGCTCCAGCTGCCCCCTTGCCTACTCGGAGAAGTTTTCTCAGGATTACTTGAGATGCCACCTCCAGGGCTTGAAGACTTCAGTAGGTCCACTGAATAAAGCATATAATAACTCTCAACTTTTAGTTTGTGTGTGTATCTTTTAGTCAACAGTCCCTATAAATGTTTGCCAAATATATAGATGGGTGAAAGAAAGAATGAGTATATATCATTTAATCTTAAAGACTATCCCAAATTGATTCACTATTTTGTATCACATTTTTCTTATCTGCTTTCATCTTACCCCACTGAAATGGTCCTCTCTGACAGTAAGTTCTGACAGCTCGTTGTGTCCTTAATTCATGACTATATCTTAAGGGAATTTGTGTGCTTTGTCGCTCAGTTGTGTCTGACTCTTTGTGACCACGTGGATTGTAACCTGCCAAGCTCTCTTGTCCACAGGATTTTTCCCAGGCAAAAATACTAGAATGGGTTTCCATTTGCTCCTACAGGGGATCTTCCAGACCCAGGAATCAAACTCTTTTCTCTGTGTCTCCTGCCTTGCAGGTTGATTCTTCACCACCAAGTGATCAGGGAAGCCCTACAGGAAGGTAGTAGGGCAATTTAAGAAATGAGTCTTTTCTCTCAAGACATTGACAGTTTAGATGCTCCAGTCTATGCTGAGTGATTGATACTTGAGGCCTCTGAGTCACAATCACTGGCAATTGACTGGGGTTCCTGAATTAGAGGAGACTGGACACTCTTCTGAAATGGGCAGACTGGGGAGTTTGTGGGGCTTGTTGTGATGCAGAAGGAGGGCTGTGTGATGCTTAGGGGAAGAGCCCTAGCTGTGCACAAGAATGAACTAGTCATGACAGAGTGTATTTTGCAGCCATGACCTAAGGAAGG